ATCAGGATGGATGGCGAAGCGATTGAGATTGTTCACAGCTTCAGTTTGCTCGGCTCCACAGTCAACACTCTTGGCACCAGCAGCCAGGAAATCAAAAAACGTATTGCAATGGGAATGTCTGCTGTTAGGGACCTCTCTAAAGTACTCAAGAGCAACGGTGTCTCTTTGGAGATGAAGGTGTGCCTGATACAGGCCATGGTCTTTGCATGACTAGGGAGGACAGAAGGAAAATTGACGCCTTTGAGCTCTGGTGCTGGAGAAGTGTATTGAATGTACCATGGACTGCCAAGAAAACAAACAGATTCATCCTAGAGAGGGTTAAACCAGGCTACTTCTTGGAGGCAAAAATTCTGGGGCTTCGTCTGACATACTTTGGACATGTTGCAAGGAGAGACAGGTCTTTGGAGAGGGATATCATGCTGGGTAGTGTAGAGGGACAGCGCAGGAGGGGAAGACCCTCTATGAGGTAGATTGATTCAGTGACTGGGATAATAGGGATGGGTGTGTCAGAGGCAATGCGATTCGCACAGGATAGAGCACGGTTTAGGGCTGTTGTACATAGGGTCACTATGAGTCGCAAACAACTTGACGGCACATAACAACAACAACATGAGATTAATTGACACCTTGGCTGCAACAGTGAGCTCAAAAAGAGAAATGATAATGAAGATTATCTGGTCCAAGATCAGACAATAGTTTCTTCTGTCATACAGAAGTTCACTATGACTTGGAGCTGTCTAATTAGCATCTAGTAGCAATAAATTATTATTGCTTGACTATTGTATGGATTCTTCTCTCATTGTGTAAGCATATGGTTTCATTTTAGGTATGCTCTAAACTCTCAGAACATCCTCTTTCAATTGATAGCACAAAGCCTCAGAAACTCTGAGTATCTACAAAATTAAGTGTAATCTTCAAATCCTCTTACCTGATCCTCCATCCCATTGTGGGGAAAAAAAAAATCCTGATTTTTTTTCCTTTAAAGGAAAACAAACCTAAATTTATTTGTCTAAATAGACCTACATTTTAAGCTTGTCTAAAATTTGGTTTGGGTACAGTAAGATGCAAAAATTTGGCAAAAAAAAAGAGGAGAATTGCATCGTGGGGAAGTAGCCTTCTGAGCTAATTGTGGGATGACTGTTCATCAACATCTCCTGTGACGTTATTTAGTTCTATTTGCACCACATTTTGGCGATAATAAAACTTTTTCTTGTTTCTACATTCACAGTAACATCATCTGCCTATTGGTGATACATACAGTTTTCCATAATTTTAAAGTTCATTCACAGTCTGATTTAAGCAGTATCCCAAGGTCTTGTTTCCCAAGCTTCACAATATGAAATCTCTTTGCCCAAACAAAGGAGTTTTCCCAAATATTCTAAACTAATGGTGCCAAACCTTTAATACACATTTTAATCACTTGGCACATTTGTTAACACGTATTTTGCTAGGCCCTACACCCCACATGATACTGATATTGCTAGTTTGGGAACTGTATTTTGAGAACTAGTTTTCTAGATTCTTGATGCTCATAGAATTATCTAAACTTTAGCAGATTGACTTTTTTGGCGAATGTTAGAAAAGTGCTCTGGTTTGAAAACTTCATCATGTACATAGATAATTCAAAGGTCTAAATGGAGTATGATTTATTCACTACGTTTTTCTTGCAGGCTGTAAGGTGTGCTTATGCTATTGTTCCTTGAATCATGTTTGTCATAGCAAACTTCTAAAACTTGTGCCTAGATGTTTATTCTCATGCAGATATTTCTGTCAGGATTATAATCCTCACTTCTTTATACCACTCTTTTCTGAATTTTCTAAACCCTTTCCTACTTAAATAACCACATCAAAAACACCATCCCAAATCAGGGCTGATTTCCACAAATCAAAAATGTGCGCTTTATTATCTGAATTGCCAAGCTTTAATGACAATTTGTTTGGTTCTATTGTTTTTATTTCCTTCAGTGTGGGTGGTAGTAGAATCACTTGCGTTCAGCTTATTTACTGTGCAGGGCTTCCATTATTTCATATAAGCCAACAAAATGTTTCTTAAGAGACCTATTGCTGGTTTGTTTTTGTTTTGTTTTTCATTTTCTGAGACTTATTTTCTTATTTAGCAATACATTTTTATTCACCATTCTACCACTCAACAATTAATTAACCCAATGAGTGCATACAAACCAAACACTTAGCCAGTTCCATCAAGTCAATTATAATGCACAGTAGATGTTCTATAAATATTTAATATTTAATTCAGTGAAATGCTCTTTATTAGTCTCCCAGTCACAACTATCAAGGTCTTTTTCTCTTTGTTTTAACAATGTTGGCAAACATGTACCAGTCCTTTTTTCAAGTTCTCTCCATATTTTCAGTCTTTTTCAGCTCCGGGATTTCTGGAAGACTTTTAGGATCCCCTTGCGAATCTCCTTGGTCTTCACGCTGTATATGATGGGGTTGAGCATGGGAGGTACAAATAGGTATACATTGGACATCATGACATGGACGACAGGCGGAGCTCTTTTCCAGAAGCGGTGGATCATGGACACAGCAATGATAGGCACATAAAAGGCCAGCACTGCACAGATGTGTGACATGCAGGTGTTGAGTGCCTTGAGCCTCTGCTCCCGGGATGCTATGGCCAACACGGATCTCAGGATCAACACATAGGAGAGCAAGATGAAGGTTGAATCTATTCCATAGGTGAAAATGACCACAAAAAGCCCATAGATGTTGTTAACACGGATGTCCCCACATGCCACTTTCATGAGATCTGGGTGGAGGCAGTATGAGTGATGCAAGACATTACCTTTGCAGAAAGGAAGTCGTTTCACCAGAAAGGGAAAAGGGAAGAGAGTAGTGAAGCTCTTGGCCAGGATTCCCAGGCCCATGGCCAAGATACGGCTGTTGGTGAGCACTGTGGCGTAGTGTAGCGGATCACAGATAGCCACAAAACGATCAAAGCTCATGGCCAGAAGAATTCCTGATTCCATGAAAGAGAAAGTGTGGATGAAGAACATCTGGACCAGGCAGGCATCGAAGCCAACATGTCTGTAACTGAAGCAGAAGGTGGCAAGCACGGTGGGTAGTGTAGAGAGGGACACTCCCAGGTCATTGAGGGAGAGCATAGAGAGGAAGTAGTACATGGGCTGGTGCAGAGCGGGTTCCTGAACCACCAGAGCCAGGATGCTGAGGTTGCCTGCGATGGAGATCAGGTAGAGGATGCAGAAAATCAGGGCAACCCAGGCTTGGCCTGTCTGCATCCCAGGAATGCCTGTCAGCTGGAGTGTAGCTGGCTGGAAAGGAGTGCCATTGAAGCCCCACATGGTAGGCAGGTGGGAGGATACAGAGTGGGTAGGAGCCCAAGAGAGTGTGGTGGGGAAGATCTTCACTGTGTTTCTTTCAGATGTCCTGTCTCCAACACAAAAGGTCAGAGATTGAAAGTGGTTTTGCATGTTTCTACCTATGAGCTGCTTGAGGACTGCAATTAAGTTTTAACTCATTCCTGAACTGTCAATGGCCAGTTTATTTTATTAACAATAGCTGTAATAATAAGTACCCATAATATGGCAAGGAAACAAGGTAAATATAAATAGGACTCAAGTCCTCTAATTGTCACTGTAAAATGCCGCATTCTTGTAATTCTGTGTCTCATACTAGAACTTTTTACTTTGGGGCTGTGGGGGAAAGTAACCAAAGGAGATAAAACATTGTATGTGGTTTGGGAATCTTTTGTTAGATGGCACAGAATGAACTTCTGTAATTGCAAAATCAGTTCCAAAAACCTTTATCCAACCATCACCTCAGTTCTCCAGTTCTGTGGTTACCACTGAACTTGTCATCACCAAAAACCAATCACCAGATTTTCTTCTCTTTGAACAATGACTTCTGGCTTCTAAACACGTCTGTACGCTTGCTGTAATGTCTCTATAAATTACACAATTTTTTTCCCTTTGCTATTGGTCTGCTAACCTTCTTAGTCCTTCACTTTCTTTCCCAAATCTATTCCCTCAACAAGACCAGTATCTTCATTTCTTGTTCACTTTCACATAGTAAACTCCAAACTTTGATAATTTCTAAAACCAAAACAGGTGTGCAATTAGATAAAATCAAAGAAGCAATATTTTTTAAAGGAGACTTGATTACTCCCCACTACCTAAAAACAACTGTACTCATTCCTACTCCTGTGTTATCAGAAGAGAGAAACTCTGATGGTCCAGTGGTTAAATGGAAAGTAAGTGGAATGAACTCACAGCAGCATTCCACTGGAGAAAGATGCGGCAGTCTGCTTCTGTGGAGTATAGCCTTGGCAAGCCTATAAGAGAATTGTACTCTGTCCTACACTGTCTTTATGAGTGAGCATCATCTCAAAGACAACAACTGGTATCTGAACAAGAGCATACGTTTTCTCCAAGCTCACTCCCTCCACTTTCAGGATTCTGCTTCTTGCTATCTCTCAGAGACGTCTTTCATCAGTCCATTGTACTGCAATTTCAACTTCTCCCTTTCTGTGTCTTGTCTTTTAGCTTATAAGAAGGTACAAGGTCTTCTTATCATAAAAACAAACAGCTCACCCCCCTCACATAAAAAATGTTCTCTAACTGCCACTTTATTACCCTTCAACTCTTCTCAAAGGAGACTGGCCGCCACAGTGATTAAAGAGCCCAGCTACTAACTTAAAGGTCAGTAGGTAGAGCCTACCAGTCACTTGGCAGAAGACAGTTGTGACAGTCTGCTCAATGCACAGCCTGGGAAACACTCTGTGCTACTCATTATTTTCTCCTTTTACTTATTTGCTTTAAGAGCTGGGCCTATTTCATGATGTTCTTTACCATTCCTTTTTCTCTCCCGTCACTTCATCAATGAGTCAAAATCAACTAGATTTAAATATAGGATATATATATACACATATATGTAAAATATATGAGGCAGAGCTTCAAAATCCTAGCCTCCAAGGAAAGACTTTGTTTCACCCTCTCCAAGACAGACCTATTTGTTTTCTTGGTGGTCCATGGTATATTCAAGACTCTTCTCCAGCACCATACAACTCAAAGACATCAATTTTTCTGTCATCCTCAGTCATTGTCCAACTCTCTGATACATAACAAGTGATTGTCAATACCATGGTCTGGATGAGGCACACATTAGTCTCTAGACTGAAATTGTTGCTTCTCAGTGCCCTAGAGAGGTCCCTAACAGCAGATTTTTCCCAGTGCAAGTCATCTTTTGATTTCCTGGCTGCTGGTACCAAGACTGTTGACTGTGGAACTGAGCAAACTATAACTGTTAACAACCTCAATCTCTTCTTCATCTATCATGGTGCAGCCAATTGACCCAATGGTGAGAATCTTTGTTTTCTTGATATTGAGCTTCAATTCGTATTGAAGACTATGGTTCTTGACATTCTGCAGCAAGCACTTCAGGTCCTCCTCAGCTTCAGCAAGCAAGATTGTATCATCTGCATTAGGTAGTTTGTTGATGAGTTTTCCTCCAATTCTGATGCCACATTCCTCCTCACAAAGCCCAGACTCATGAATTATATGTATGTATGTATGTATGTATGTATCTAGATGTATATCCTTTGTCATGCAGATGGTACAGCCTTGCTTTTTGAAAGTGTGGAACACTTGAAACACTTGCTGTAGAAGGTTAAATATTTCAGTCTTCAATGTGGATTTCATGTCAATGTCAAGAAAACAAAAATCCGTGCCACTGGACCTATAGACAACATCATGACAGATGGAGAAAGGATTGAGACTGTCAACAAATTCATCTTAACATGAATCTACAATCAATACCCTTGATACCAATAATCAGGAGATCAGGAGACACATTACACCAGGAAAGTCTGTAGTGTGGGATCTCTCCAAATTATTCAGGAGTAATGATGTCGGTTTGAGGACTAAGGTGCACCTGATTCAAGCCATAGTCTTTTCAGTCACTTTCTATGAATCTAAGAGCTGGACAGTGACCAAGGTTGAGAGAAGAAGAATTGGTACCTTTAAACTGTAGTGTTGAAGAGAAGTACTGAAGGTGTCAAGGACTGCCAAAAGAACAAACAGATCTGTCTTGGAGAAGGTGCAGCCAGAGTGCTTCCAGGAGGTAAAGTTGCTGAATCCTTTTCTCACATACTTTGGGCATGTTTCCAGAAGAGGTTATTCCTTGTAGATGGACAACATGCTTGAGAAGATGGAGATTCAATGAAAGAGAGAACGACCCTCAATGAGATGGGTTGACACAGTGACTGTGGCAATGAGTTTTGGTGTATCAGAGATTGTGAGGATGGCATGGGATGGGACAGGGTTCAGATCAGTTGTTCATAGGGTTACTAGGATTGAGTCATATTTAACTCAACACCACCTAACAAGAATGACACGCCTTGAATCCTTTGTAAAATAATAATGATGATGATGATGATAATAATAATAAAATAATAAATTAACAAAAAAAAAGAATGACATGTGTGCATGTGTGTACTGAGTAATGTTCACATATATATCCCTGTGATTTTTCTCTCCTTTACTACATCAATTAATAGAGTTTCTTGTGCTCCTCTCTAAAATTCCCTTTTGTCCCTAATATAGATTTTAAAAAGGGCTTCAAGAGGCTACAAAGATATAGACTGTCCAGACTGTTTTCCTTTAATCATATTTACTCCAATATTAAGACGATTTTGACGAAATGGAAAATCGCCCTGGGGCATCAACAGAAATTAAGTACGCTTTACAAAGAAGTTACTTCTTCCCCCAAAAAAGAAGTGGATAAAGAGTTAATTCTAACTCAGTTACCCTATAGGGTAGAGTAGAAATTACAATCATTTCTTAGACAACTGGTAAGAATGTTCCAGGATGTTTGAGAGCAATAATAAAAACCCTAGGGAGCTAGGGAGCTCTGATGGCCTAGTGGCAAGAAGCTACACTGTAATCCCAGAGGCATGCAGTTCAAATCCACCAGATGCTGTGCTGGAGAATGAGAGGGAAATCTCCTCCTGTACCAGTTGGATCTGATTTGATGGTACACACATAAAAAATAACAAACAAAAAAATTAAATTAAAAAACAACCAAAAACATAAACCCATTGCTGTTTAGTTGATTTTTACTCATTGATGAACTGATAGGAGAGAAAAAGGAATGCTCTATGGTAAGAACATCATGGAATAGCTCTCCTCTTAATGCAAATAAATAAAAGGAGAAAATAAAGAGTAGCACTATCCCAGCATGTTTCCCAGGCTGTCCATTAAGCAGACTGCCACAACTTTCTTCTACCAAGTGATTGGTAGGTTCTACTCACTGACCTCTCAGTTAGCAGCTGAGCTCCTTATCCACTGTGGCAGCCAGTCTCCCAGTTTGAGAATACTTGAAGGGTAATAGAGTGGCAGAGTTTTGTATCTTGGAAATGTCTGTTTGTTCTTTATGATAAGAAAGCCTTGTACCTTCTTATAGCGAAAAGGCAAAACATAGAAAGGGAGAAGTTGAAAATACAGTATAATGTGCTGATGAAAGAGGTCGTGGTAAGAAGCAGAACAGCGGAGATTGTGGTCTTCACTTTTCAAATGACTGACCTGCATTGGCAGATGAGTTCTTTAACCACCTGCTAGGCTTACTCTGCTGTCTTTAAGTTCTGCTGTACAAATGACATTGTCCAGAAAGGAATGGTATATTCATGCTCCAGACTGCCTGCAATTTGTCAAGCAATTTTGAACATTTCTTCCAGGGAGAACAATAATCCACTGTGACCCTGCAATCATTCTTCCTTTGCTATAGCCAAGAATAAATCAGCTAAAGCTTCCTAAATGTGACAAATCTAGGAAGAAAAATCAGAGAAATGGATATAGACGCGAGTAATGCTTTTCTCTTGCATAACTTGTGCATGAGCACGCGCGCGCACACACACACACACACACACACACACTATGGCTCAAAGACAATAGCAAATACCTACTCTAACACACATATACACATGTACATACTCAGGTATTCACAGGCAATATATGACAGACACAGAAACTAGAGCACATTTCCTTGATCATACATAAACTACTCTAGGTACAGAAGTTGAGAAAACTTACACTCACTGGTGCTATCCAATATATTTCAAATATTCTCCCATGGTTATACTCTCATAAACACACACACACACACACACACACACACATACATACATCATAATTAGGAAGCCTATAACAATAATATTTCCACCAATTATATTCCCATGATATATGCGACACTGAAAATCCAATGAAGATTGAAAACTATATCTGTCTTTAACCCTAACTCAATTGTTACATAAGTGTACAGTTCATTTGGTTCTGTGATTTTTCTCTAG